ACTCAAAGTAGTTTATATTGTAAGATGCTAAACAGATATAGAGACAACTTCAAAAGACAGGAGAAAAGACATATCATAACACACATATTGTAATGATAAAAAAAAAAATACCCCAGATGCATCAGTTCCTCCAACCCAAGTTACTCCGTAGCCATTATGGGCAGTCAGCCTCTGAATCAGCTGGTGCTCTGCGCTGGTGTGCACAGATGCAAGGTTTGCTCCCATGGACAGGCAGTTTCTCTTTAATGAAGAGTGACAGACAGAGCAGAGTTTTTCAAAGTCACAACTGGGCTAACATGTATTTTAATAGCACTTTAAAGTGTTGGAGATAAAGTAAGAGAAGTTTACCTCAGCTGTAGCCCAATTCATGGCTCTTGGAACATAGAGAAAGCAGCGACGATGGATCCGAGACCAACCATGCGGACAACCCCTGCACCTCTGTGCTGGAGGAAAATAATTCGTTGTAATAATTCAGAAAAACAATAAAACCGAGATTATGGTTCCTAATTTAGAACAACTATTTTTTTTTTTTTTTTACAAAATGTGCCGTTGCTCTTTAAATACTGTGGTGTTCTTCTGAGTACAAGCAAAAAATATTAAACACACTTCTTGTGTCAGAAAAACAATAGAGTTGCTTGTATCTTTTTTTTTTTCTCTTTTTGGATGCTCGTTCTCAATCCAAGTTATCTATGTAACAATCCCTGCCTCCTCTCTTTCTCCATTATATACAGTTGTATTTCATATTTAACTACATATTTAATTATATTTTTGTCATGTTTTCTCTTTATAATGCAATGATTTCTTTATATAATGACTATTGTGCTGCAATACTCACCAGCAACACTGCACAAAGCCATCATCACACAAAGCAGTGCAGACACAGTCAACAGCTTCATGGTACCTCTGTGTAAAAACAAAGACCCAAAATGACTGACAGTTCATAAAATAAGTGATAGATGATAATTTGAGAGTTTGCAGCAGACCTTTTGTAGAGCGTCTTCACTCTTTTCAGTATCAGCCAGTAGCTTCAGTCTTCCAGAGTAGATGTGCGAATAGAGTTGGATCAGTGTTTATATACAGGATTCTCTTTAATTTACATAGTTGCAAAACCAGGAAATGACACTTGTCTAGGGTCTAGATTGACTGGGGTTGTTCCAGATATAGATGGGAACTGATGATGGATAACCACACAGCATTGGTGGTAGGCAGTAGTGATAGATCTCAGGAAAAACATCCAGGATCTGTGCCCATAGCTCAGACCAAAGAAAACCCAAGCATGTTTTTTTTCAGTGACTTTCTCTGTTTTTTGAACTTCCAGCTGAAATGTGCTGGGATGACTATGGGTGTACCTTTGAAAACCTGCTAGTGCCAAGGAAATGTGATGAGTTATAGGCTTAGCATTGTTATAGGAAAGTGTATCTTTTTGTCAACCGTGTCACATTTTGGCTTATTTGTCCTTTCTCCTTTATGATTTTACTTCTTTGTCTGGTGTGGGTTGCACCACTTTACCTTAGGAAAATGAAAATTACAAAGAGTGCTCGTCATTCTACATTTACATGGAACTTTCTGATAGCTGTTGATTTTAATTTTTTAAAGAAGATGTGGCAATAATGTGGCAGGATGTGGCCTATTCAGCAACTATTCCTCACTATTGGTTAGTGTTTGAAAAGTTACTTTGAAAATTGAGTTAGTTATAGTTACTACTTACTTCTTCAAAAAAGTAATATGAGTTGGTAACTGAGTTATAATATGATCAAAGTAAATAATTATTAGGAAAAGTAACTGTCATTGAAGGTTCTCAGTCACCATTTGACCCTAGTACGGAAAAAGCTTCTTGGATGAGAGGTGAAACGTCTTCAAGCAACTTAAAGAAGTCCAGATGCTTTTCTTTCAAAACTCCTTAGGAAAAGTAACTATTGCATTACAAAAAAAAAAAAAAAAAGACTACTTTTGATTTTATCTCTGCATTTCACCTTTAAAAGCTATTTATCTGCCTTGTTTGGCATCATTCCTTTCAGCACAACCTCATGCTGGAAAAAAAAGTTGTATTTTTTACCATAGCAACTGCAAGTATGTTTAACAAATCATCTTAGTAACTTGAAATGCAAATATAAATTGTACATTTTAAAAACCTATGCACACGTTTTGAAAACAGCAAAGAAAAAAAAAATTTGCCATTTGCCACAGCAGATGCCCCCGATTTTCAGTAAGTGAATGTGTTTAATTGTAGGCAGGGACATTACTGGATATTCTTGTGTAAATGCTACAGAATAATTTATGTAATACTTATATACTTATATTGCTACAGAAGAATATTTATTTTATTATTTTACATTTACAATTTTTAGGCTGTGGATCTCTTAAGATCTCACTGTTGGGTTTGTAAGGCCATGTTACTCCTAAATTTCTATCTTGTTCAAAGTTCAAAGTTCTAAGCTAATCGACCTCAGTGTTCTCCTTTTTTAAAAATAAGAATCGATACAGAATCGAATCGTTAAACAGAATCGATAATGGAATCAGAATCGTGAAAATCTTATCAATACCCATCTCTATTTAGCATAGCTTCGTATTGCTATGTCATCTTAAATTGGTCATGTGATTGCTTTTCCATGACTACTTTATCCTTCCTCAGCCAACCTGCGGCACTTGTGTAAATATTTCACCCCCTAAGCTCCTGGTAGGCTGAAGACAGCTTCAACTGTCTGTGTTTTGAAAAATAATTATGCGCCCGCACGACATTTTCTTTTTAGTAATGGTAACAGCATTGTAGTGATAGAAAAAGTAAAAAGTTACATTACTAGTTACTGAGGAGTAACAGCATTACTTTTAACCCCGTTATTCCCATCACTGCTATTCATCCATCTTCAACTTGATGGTGACTTACGCAGTTGTTCCCACATCATCATGCCATTGTCAAATTGTCATTGTCAAACCTGTTGTCATTGATATGCTTAAACAATGGAAAAAACACAAACTTTGTCCAAAAACCTCTCATGTTTAGCTGTTTTCCACTTTTTCTTTGGTCATTTTAGCCTTTTTGGCCAGGGTGAAGGGAGTATCTGCCATCAAACAAGAAGACAGCCGCATGTAGCTATGATGATGTTTGCTAGTTCACCTTACATGCATTAATGTAATAACGTGGTTAGCCTACTCAACGTAAATTACACACGAACAACATTAAGCTACTCACGCAGAGAAGAACGGCTGCTGCTGCCATCATCATCCGTCATCATTTCTGCTACACTGGCAGGGCTAGGGGCCAGGACTCTCCTCTTCGGGTTTTTGGGGGATGTTGCTAACTCCGGGTCCGATAACAGGCACCACACGTGCTCGGTGTGAGGTCTCGCAGCAAGCTATCAAATACGGCGCATTTCTCGGCTTTTAAAAAAAACGCTATGCGTCGCCAGGTGTTTCATCGGATTCGAGGTGTTACCTCCTTTGACAGTATCACAGTATCAGCTTAAAGCACTTGTTGCTGCTGCTGAGTTTGCATATTTTGCTGTGAAGTACAGCCAGACTTTTGACCGCTTCGCCTTGGGCATTTTTAATCTGTAGCTCTGCTCTAACTGAACGTACGTACCTGGCCCCGCCTACTATCCTCGGAAACGTAAAATGATTGGCTAGAATCTAAAGTGTATCACAGCTCAGGAAAAAAAAGCACCGAAATAAAGCACCGAAATGTGCGCTGCTTTTCGGTCTGGTTACTACCGTTTATGTCAGAACCGGTGCCATCATGGCACCGGACACCGGTACCCATCCCTAGCTAGTCTCAAAATACTTCAAAAAACAGTCATACTTTTCTAGTTGGTTCACTCTTCTGTTATGGTGTTCAATATGAATCACTGCTATTATACAGTAGCTAGCTTCTTCAGATTTAACTTTGTTGCAGTCAAGCAAGTTTATATCATTGAGTCTGTCTCCATGATTCTGTCCCTGAGTAATTAATTAAAAAAATGTCTGCAAATTGTGACAGTACAATCTGACCACGATATGGACCCAGCACACTCCGAGATGTACGAGCATCGGGAGGCAGCCTTCACCCAGCTGGAGGAAGAGCTCCACTGGAAGCCGTGGTGCGTCCCTGACTATGAGCACATCTTCCGTGGAATTCAGCCGGCTTTTGGACGTCCCCGGAGCTGCTGAAAACCCTCACTGTACTGTCACTGACTGGGACAGAAAATGGACAGAATAATAAGGGCTGTTTGTGAAGTGATTTTTGATTGCATATTGTTTCTCCCATTTTTGATTTGAAATAAATGCAGTACTGTTATCACTTACTATGTTTGACCATCTCCAACAGCAGAATGATTTTTTTTTCTACATGAGCATAAGTGTTTAAAAACATCCGAATCAATTACAAAATGGTAAAAATTACAAATAGTTCTATGGTCACAAAAGCACCTGAAAATAAATCCATGTTCAAAACCACAACACTTTTGTGTGCATGAAACAGTGCCATGGTCTATGGAAGGATATTAGTGAAATTCAACTTAAAACCTGTCTATTGGTCCTAGAAGAAAACTGGAATGGGTTAGCAGGGGAGTCATGCGTTCAACTGATTTTTGAAACAAAGGGCAGAACTCATCCACTTTGACTGCAACAGTATATTTTCAGAATCAGAATAGAATACTTTATTGATCCCTAGGGGAAATTATTTTTCAGTTACAGTGCTCCATTATAAACAAACATTAACAAAGACAGACAATACACTAACTAAGAATAGCACAATATATACAGGCATATATATACATAAAAGTCACTTATTAATAAATAGCTGAAAAAGAACATGTGCAAGAAGGGTGTAGCTGTTGAACATGTTAAGTGGATGCGTTGTACAGGGAGATGGCCACAGGCAGGAAACGATTTCCTGTGTCGTTCAGTGGTGCTTTTCGGTAATCTCAGTCTCTCACTGAACGTGCTCCTGTGACTGACCAGCATGTCATGGAGTGGGTGGGAGGTGTTATCCAACATTGTCTTTATCTTGGACAGCATCCGCCTCTCCGACACCACCTTGAGGGAGTCCAGCTCCATCCCCACAACATTGCTGGCCTTACGGATTCAGTTTATTGAGTCTGTTGGCATCTGCGACCCTCAGCCTGCTCCCCCAGCATGCAACAGCATAGAGGATCGCACTGGCCACAACAGACTCATAGAAAATCTCATAGAAAATGTCGACAGATGTTGAAGACCTCAGGTCGCCTCAAAAATAGAGACGACTCTGGCCCTTCCCTGTAAAGTGTGTGGTGTTTTTAGCCCAGTCCAGTTTATTGTCAATGTGTACTCCAAGGTATTTATAGTCCTCCACAATGTCAACACTGACCCCCTGGATTGACACAGGGGTCAAGTGTTTCCTGGTCTTCCTGAAGTCCACG